CGACCAAAAAAAAAAAAAAAAACGGTAAAAGTCACGCGAAAAGGCAACAAAGTAGCAACTTTTGCACTGGAAACCCCCGAACGGAAGAGACCCACAACGAACGGACACCGGATCTGGAAGGAGGAGGCAGAGGCGAGCCTGTCTGCCTTGGTTCGGCCAGAAAAGGTGGCCGGAACAGTGCACACGCGCCAGAAACACTGTTCCGTCACTGTTCATCACTGTTCTGGCCACCTTTCCGGCGAGAAACCACGCGATCAGGCTCCCCTCACGCCGGCGACCGTTTCTGTCCAAGACCCGTCCCAAACGGCCGCGGCACCCGCATTTTGAATCTGAATATTATTGTATATTCAAGTGTGTATAACTGTACAAGAAGGCTCTCTATTTATAGAGACTAAAAGACCTAATGGGCTAAGCCCACAATCTAGACTAATCTAATAATAATAGACTAATATTATTTCTAACACTCCCCCTCAAGCTGGTGCGTATATATCAAAAGCTCCCAGCTTGTTACAAATATGATCTATTCGGGGACCTCTAAGAGCTTTAGTGAATACATCCGCAAGTTGATCATTGGAATTGACAAATGTTGTCTCGATCTCCGCTGACTGGATCTTTTCTCTAACAAAATGACAGTCAATTTCTATATGCTTGGTCCTCTCATGAAAGACTGGGTTAGAGGATATATGCAAAGCGGTTTGATTGTCACAAATGAGCTTCATAGGCCGTTGTTCACAGAGATGGAGTTCCTTAAGCAATTGTCTCAGCCAGATGAGCTCACAGGTTGCATTTGCCATTGCCCGATATTCTCCCTCCGCACTGGATCTGGCGACCACAGTTTGCTTCTTACTCTTCCAAGATATCAAATTTCCTCCGAAGAGAACACAATACCCTGAGGTGGATCGTCTATCTGAAGGAGAACCTGCCCAGTCAGCATTTGAATAACTAGAGATCTCTGAACTCCCTTTATTTGTGTATAATAAACCTCTTCCTGGCGCCTTTTTAATATATCGGAGAATAATGCAGTTGGGAGTCACAGGGAGAATCAAGAAATTGACTTGCAACACTCACTGCGAAGGAGATATCTGGCCTTGTCACAGTAAGATAATTCAATTTTCCAACTAGTCGGCGGTAGCGACTAGGATCTGGCAGTGGCTCCCCCTGTCCTGGTAATAGCTTAACATTGGGGTCCATAGGTGTATCAATGGGTTTACAGCCTAACATGTCAGTCTCATCTAGGATATCCAGTGCATACTTCCTCTGACAGATAGAAATGCCCCGCCTAGACTGTGCAACTTCGATCCCCAAGAAATATCGAAGTCTACCAAGATCTTTGGTCTGAAATTGATTGAATAAATGCTCTTTCAACTGATCAATCCCGGTCTGATCGCTGCCTGTAATGATAATGTCATCAACATAGACCAGGAGATAAATGCACTGGCCAGAAGAGCTATGCCGGTAGAAGACAGAATGATCAGCTTTGCTTCTGATTAAGCCAAAGGATTCAACAACTGAACTAAAGCGGCTAAACCAGGCCCGAGGAGATTGCTTCAGGCCATATAAAGATTTCCGAAGTTTACATACCATTCCAGAACTCTCCCCCTGAGCAACAAAACCTGATGGTTGCTCCATATAAACTTCCTCCTGCAAGTCACCATGTAGAAAAGCATTCTTAATATCAAGTTGGAGAAATGGCCAGTGATGAATGGCGGCAAGGGCAAGAAACAGGCGAACAGAAGCCATCTTAGCAACAGGAGAAAAAGGTATCCCCATAATCAAGACCAAAGATCTGTGTGTATCCCTTGGCCACTAAGCGAGCTTTAAGGCGATCAACAGTGCCATCAGGACCAACTTTAACTGCGAACACCCATCGACAACCAACAACAGATTTCCCGGGAGGAGCACGAACAAGACCCCAAGTGCCATTGGAGTGAAGTGCCTGCATTTCATCAAGCATCGCCTGGTGCCACCCTGGATGAGATAGTGCTTCACCTGTGGTTTTAGGGATGGAAACAGAAGAGAGACTAGAAACAAAAGTAAAATGTTGTGAAGAAAGTCTGTCATAACTCAAGAAAGAATAAAGGAGATGAGGATTTCGAGTGGATCGAATACCTTTCCGAAGGGCAATGGGAGGAGTCTCTGATGGAGGATCCGGAGGAGAAGAGCTGACGGGAAGGGCGATGAGTCATCAAGAGGCAAAGTCGGAGGAGGTGCAGGCTGACGACGCTGGTATGTGAGGAGAGGACGATCTGCAGGTATGGAGGTAATGGGTTGCTCCTCTAGAATAGGGTCACCTGCAGCTGGTAAAGACAAGTCAAGAAAAGGAACAGGAAGGACCTGATCAACCTGTGACACTTGAGACGGAGTAGAGTGAAAAGGCTGCTGATCAAGGAAAGTGACATCAGCAGAAACGATATAACGCTTGAGATCAGGAGAATAGCAACGATACCCTTTTTGAAGACGTGTATACCCAAGGAAAATACATTTGAAGGCCTTGGATTTCAACTTGTCTTTACCTGGAGTAAGATCATGAACAAAACAAGTACAACCAAAAATATGTAAAGGCAGAGGGTAAGAAGGTAAGAAGTACAACCAAAAATATGTAAAGGCAGAGGGTAAGAAGGTGCTCCGGAAAACAAAATATTGTGGGAAACATCATTATTTAGCACAGAAGAGGGCATGCGGTTGATAAGGAAACATGAGGTGATAATAGCATCTGCCCAAAAACGGAGTGGGACGTTCATATGAATGAGAAGGGTACGTGCAGTTTCAACTAGATGTCTATTTTTACGTTCAGCGACTCCATTTTGTTGTGGAGTGTGGGGACAGGTAGTTTTGTTGAGATATATAGTCCCACATTGGTTGTATGAGCCAACTAATGTGGAGTTTATAAGGCCTTGGGCACTCCCACCCTTAGAGCTAGCTTTTAGGGTGGTGTATCCCAAGGTTCTTTTACATGGTATCAGAGCCTCGCAGCCCCCCACTTTCTCTTGTGGAGTTTCTTAGCACAGGTAGGCTGGGCCTGTTGCATCATCCACTCTTCATGCCCAATGGGCTCTTGTGTGAGGGGGCGTGTTGATATATATAGTCCCACATTGGTTGTATGAGCCAACTAATGTGGAGTTTATAAGGCCTTGGGCACTCCCACCTTTTGAGCTAGCTTTTGGGGTGGTGTATCCCAAGGTTCTTTACATGGTATCAGAGCCTCGACGCCCCCACTTTCTCTTGTGGCGTTTCTTAGCACAGGTAGGTTGGGCCTGTTGCATTGTCCACTCTTCAAGCCCAATGGGCTCTCGTGTGAGGGGGCGTGTTGAGATATATAGTCCCAAATTGGTTGTATGTGCAACTAATGTGGAGTTTATAAGGTCTTGGGCACTCCTACCCTTTGAGCTAGCTTTTGGGGTGGTGTATCCCAAGGTTCTTTACACCAAAAAAAAAATATCAAACATATATAAAACCAAAACACACCAATACATAAGTCATCACAAATTTGTATGTTGTCACCTTACTCTTCTATAGAAAAAGAACATGATGATATTTTAAATTCTTTTAAAAATTTAATTTAATCATGAAAATTTAATAAAAATTAATGTGGTGGTATAGTTATTTTCAGAAGACTAATTTACGATTCAAAATTAGAAAAATTTCATAATCACTTTTTTAGCCAAAAATTAAATGGATGGGCTTGGATAAGTTGTAACCGGTTATAGGCCTAGTGCGATAAAAAAAAAAAGAATAAGTGTTGCCTCTTGCAATTTCTGGCCACACCACACGTGAAGAAGTAAACATTTTTTCAATTTGAATACCATCACTCACCTCACGCTGGCACAGGTGTTTCAGATTTTCGAACTCTTCGCCACCATTCCTCCCAATGCCCAATCCCTCATGTCAGTCTCACCCACACTTCTTTATTCTCAGATTTACGAACTCTTTGTTTTTGTGATTCGATTTTTCTTCTCTTCGTAGGTTGGAGCTACAACGCGATAAAAACATTTTTTTTCAGTACTGAGTCAACTCATAAACTCAACGAGTTTACCAAGTCAACTCGGCGTTTGAACCGTTTCTACACAAATTCCATTCCTACCATCGTTCCAACATGTTTTTGGACCACCAAAAACATAGAAACGGACGTTTCTACATTTGGAAACGACGTTTTAACAACACTAGTGTCACTGCCATGCTCAGACTCACTACCATTCCAGTTCACGTCCACCTTCTTGGTTGCATGCTGCAACACATTTCCCCAAAGAATTGTTCGTTCATCTCCTCATCCTCGAGAACAACCCCCACTTTCTATCCACTTACTCAGCATGTGCTTGATCTCTCCCATCCTTTTAATATTTCCCGTGTTCTCAAAAGATCACACCGCTCTTTCCTCCTCAGAAATGAGTTCCAGCATCTTCATCAAACAGTTCAGCATATGCTTAAGCTTAGAAACGCTGGAATCCCACAAATGAGGCTGGAATCCATCTTCGTCGATCACCTTATTCAAGAACACTACTGAATTCTCCATTTCTTCCTACTGGTCAGACCAATAGTCACAAACCCAGAGATGGTTTCTAGGTTTTCAGAGAGATGAGAAACACAGAAAAAAGAGATCAAGAAAAAAAGAATTGAATTACAAGCAAAGAACAAAGCACAAAATTATATTCCAAGTGTTACCCTGACAACTGAGCCACTATTCTGTTTTTCCAAACTAACAAATCTGAACATTTAACTAATTCCCTCTGTTCTCTTCTACTCCTATTTAACTACCTGCATAGAACTGCTCTTTCCCGCTCAAACCCAACATGCTTAACTACCCTAACTATCTAACCATTCCTTCCTTTTGTCCCTTCTAGTGTACATTTTCAGGCCCGCTCCCCATCATGCTGATATCTAACTTTAGTGAAAAAAAAAATTAATAATAATCATGATGATGCTGTAGATATAAAATCATCCATATGCACTTTCATCAAACAAACTTAGTTTATTACACAGTTTAAATAATAGAATAAATTTACCTGAAAAATGTAGAATCAGCTTCTGTTGCAACAGCCTTGGCCAAATATGATTTACCGGTTCCAGGTGGTCCGTACAACAAAAAAGCTCTCCAAGGTCGTCTTTTACCTGAAACAGACAGTGCCAAACATATTAAACAATAAACAAACCACAAGAGAAAACAGAAGATTAAACAAACTATATCATATCCAGCTCCTACAACATAGACACATGCAACATCCAACTAAGCTTATTTAGAGCACAAAAGAATGTCCCAATCAAATAGCACTCGTTAAATTCTTCCTTATTCTCCTTGCATGCATTTAGAGCACGTTAGAATTATGCTAATGTAGTAGTAACAACATACAAAATTCAATTCGTTGTAATTCTTCTACCACCTCTACCTACAAGATTCAATTCTGATCTTAAGAGAGAGGCCACATCAATAAAACTCCAATTCTTTCTCAAATCTCTTCCAATCTTGAACACTATTTTCTATCAGTTATCAAAAGCATCATCCACAGCAGCTATGACATTATCAAATTAGCAACTATCCAATTCCAAACCCAATTCAGCAACAAAAGAAAAACTCACCAGTGAAGAACTGAGGGAACTTCACAGGCAAAATAACCGCCTCCTGCAACGCCTGCTTCGCGCTTTCCAACCCAGCGACGTCGTTCCACTTCACATTCGGTTTCTCCCTTATGATCGCCGAGTTCAGCCCAGCACGAAGCTTCGCCTGCTCAGGATCCTCTCCGTCTCCACCATCACCATCCTTGGGCTTCGTCTTGGGCCGCGTGGCGACCGCAGCATCCCCGTTGGATGCCGGGCCAGGCCCACCGTCATCAAGTACGGCCCGGATCTCCTCGGCCCGACGCAGATACTCGGTGAATTTCTGGGTTATAGCTTCCTTGATCTTAGGGTTCTTCTCGTACTTGAGATGCGTTTTGAAATACTCCAAAGCGTTCATGTACAAAGGGAACGCCTTCGCGTAGTTTCCGGCATTATCTTCTTGTACAGCTTGCTTCACGTACTCTATCGCTTGCTCTTTGAAATTGCTATACATGTTCTTCTTCTTCTGGCTATCAACAATAGCATAGACGAATCGAGAGGGATATTTAGAATTGCGACCTCAACGTAAACCCTACAGCTGCGACAAGATTATATATAAGGTGAACAGATAGGGGAATTTTGGGATCGAATTTTATTTGGGATTTTGGAAACCCTAAAGATTTTTTTATTTTTTTTTTTTTTTTGGGGTGGGTGGGTAAGGATCTGAACGGGAAAAGGAGGAAGAAGGAGAAACGTTGATGGTTTGTGTGTGTGGAAAGCGAAAGCGTTTGGGGCTGGGAATAAGTTGGGAGATGGCGAGTCAGAGAAGAGAATGTTCTTCTGCGGAATGTGACCAGAGTCGAACTTTCCTTCAGGTAATGCGTAACGCGTTGCGTTTCGAATTTTTCTTTTCTTTTCTTTTTTCTTTTAAGAGTAATTTGTAAGGATTCAGTGTTTTGTCATTTTAAATGATATAAGTTATGTCATTTTAGGAGGGAGATAGACACAGAAAAATAAAAATCATGGGAGGGAGAAAGTGAGAGATTTTTTTTAATTTAAAATTTAAATAAAAAAAATTGTGTCTGTCTTTCTTAAAAGGACAGAGTGTTATGTCATTTAAAATGACAAACATTTTTTCCAATTTGTAAACGAGGAACATGAATTTGTATTCAGAAAAACATTCAACTATGACTAGGGTGTAAATGGGCTAGGCTAGGCTTTGACTTAAATAGGCCAAGTCTGTGTACAAAAACATTGGGTATGGCATGGCCTATTAGCCTGTGTAGGCTTCATATTACAAGTCTGGCCTGATCTATATTCAAAAAATAAAAGCCTTGACCTAAGGTTGTTAGCCTGTTTAAGCTTATTAAACATTCAACAATTAAATGAATAACTAAAATAATATTATTTTATTCAAAATTATTAAATAATAATTTTATTTATTATATTTTAAATAAATAATATGATATAGGCCGGCTGTAGGCTTCTAGGCCCGACATGTACAAAAAAAAGCCTATGGCCTGTTTTCTATATAGGTTTTTTTAAAAACCTAGGCCTATTCTATTTTACTACTTATAATAGGCCAAGCCTGGCCTAATATAGTCTAGGTCATAGGCCCCTGTAGCCGGCCTAGCCCATTTACACCCCTAACTATGACAACAACCAAAAAGAAAAAAAAAATATTTTCTATTAATAAAAAATTAGAAAAATGAATAAATGTATTTGGAGTGAAAAAAACAAGTATGTTTGCTGATAAGTGAATAATAAATTAATAACATCACAGTTATATTTTATAATAAAAAAAATTATATTGCTTACCAAAAAATTATTATATTTACAACTTATTTTTGTTTATAACATTTTACAACCATATCTTAATCGTCAATCAACGGTTATCATTTATTGTGAATTAATAATTAACTAAAGAGTTTAATTTGTGAAAATAATAACCGTTGATTGACGGAGATCAACGGTTAAGATATGATTGTAAGAGGTTGTAAACGAAAATAGGTTGTAAGTATAACTTTCCTCATAAAAAAAACATCTTTTTAAATTTTTTTTTTTTACATTGTTTTAAAAAAATTATTCCTTAACAAAATGTAGGAAATGAATTTAGGAATGAGATATTATATCTATCTTTTTTCATATACATTTTACTTACTTTTCTCTACTAATGTTAGATTACAAACTTAACCAATCTTCTCCCTTTCTAAATAAGTATGTAAGAGGTAGGCTTGAAACAAGGTAAGCATTTTTATATCCCATAGATTTATAAATAATAACAAAAATATAACAAAGAGATATAACAAATAACAAATACTTGAGACTATAGAAGGAGGATTAAGGAGAGAATGAAAACTTTACATCAAGATAGTTGAAACCGAGAAATTACTTAAGATTGAAGGGATAAGATATTGTGACAACCAAATAATGTTACTACCACATCTTAACCGTTGATTTTCGCCAATCAACGGTTATTATTTTTCAAATCAAACTCATTAATTAATTATTAATTCGCAATAAATGATAATCGTTGATTGGCGGAAATCAACGGTTAAGATGTGGTAGTAACATTGGTAGTAACATTATTTGGTTGTCACAATATCTTATCCCAAGATTGAAAGGGGGTGATTGTGAAATTAATGCACTTAAAATGAAGAATTCATTTATACAAGAGTCTTGATGATAACAAACAAGCTTAGAAGCGACGTCAAAGAAAATACAACTTGCAACAATCAAAAGTCCAAGGAAACAATTCAACAAGACAACAAGAGCAAATCATTCAACACACATGATCAAGATCAAAGATCAAGATTGCAATATATCCTTGATAGATTATATCTAAATGTAAATGTAATTGATTAATGATGCATAAATGAGCTCAAAGAATATTTAACTCTATTTATGCATTATCCATGACATCAATCATTTGAAACCTTTAATATTTATGAAAAAGACCCTTGACATATTTCGTAACCTCAAAACATTTTTTAACAAGTCAAGGAATTACATTAACAACCCAAAGAAGGAATGCTTTACAACTCGAAAAACTACACCATTGATGTTCTGTCAAGAAAGTATTCGAATACTTGTGCTGTGAACAAAGTATTCGAATACCTTAAGAAAAGTATTCGAATACCAGATGAAGTATTCGAATACCTTACGAAAAGTATTCGAATACTTATTGGGCATTAAGCAGTCTAACAGCTATAAACGGCTAGTTTCGTGCCAACAACTATATAAACTCATTTATTACGAATCAGCAAGCTAAGTTTTACTGTTCCATTGGTTTGGCAATCATTATTAGTCATTCTCATTGAATCAAACTCATTTATTGCTTGTTCTTACTCATATTGATCATAAAACTCCTTTGATCATTCTTGTGTCATTGATCAATACCCATAAGCTTCAACTTGTATAATCTGTACTTCAAGAGTACAAATTCATTTCTAAACACTCTCATTCTGTTTATTTAAGTTGAGGGTAGTGAGACCCTAATGAAAAGGTTGTTCATAGCCTAAGAAAGTGAATGGAAGTGTAAGGGTTTCAAGAACCAAAATTCTTGAAGGTTGTAGCGGTTTGTCAAGCACCCTTGAAGCTTGATAATTAGTGGAAAGTTGAACGAGCGGCTTCAATCTGGATGTAGGTCACGATGGTGGTGACCAAACCAGAATATATCGTGTTTGCGAGCTCTCTAACTATTTATCTCTTTACATTAGCATTATTTGAATACTTAAGCTTATTTAAATTTACATTTTGCATACTACTTGCTTGTATTAATTTTTATTCTTTAAGCTTTGCTTGTGTAAAAATCATATTAACTCAAGAAAATCTTTTCAAGAAAGAAAGTGAGGCATTTTGCGAAAATATTTTTAAAACTCAATTCACCCCCTCTTGAGTTTGAGGCCACTTGTCAAACAGGTGACAAGATTGAAAATCGCGGAATCGACGGTTTGTAAAGATTTTATATTTCTAATTTCAATAAAAAAATATTTATGCATATAAAGTGTTTGTAACTCACAACTTAATTCTTCAAAGACAATTTAAATATCATATTCATGAAAATTTACCATCTCAAAGGCGCTTTAATCACGTTCACAATCGAAGGAACAACATGTCAAGCTCAAAATACAAACGACAAATTTTTGGAGCTTTGAAAGTTCATACTCGTACAACTCCCACCAATCTGAAGAAGTTATTTTTTTTATTACAATCTTGGCTATTGGATTACCAGAAAAATTTCCTTCGATGCTTGAAATCTTCAAGTTGAGCATCAATCTTAGATATTTCTTCTATATCCCCCATTGTAACACTCCGTTCTAGAATCGGTTTGTTAGCATTGCATATGATATTAAGCTTAGTTACAATAATTGTAATTGAATTAAAATTATGGATAAATTTTTCATTTACTTTTAATAATATTGGTTCCATACATAACTAATTCAAAACGTAATTGCAACTCATACATAGAACGAAAAACATAATACATACGCTTAACATTAACGTCTACAACCAAGCAGCCCCATAAGCATATAAGCTTTAAAACTTACTATGAACTACGTTTCTCTTAAACATTTCCTATCTAGGTGACATAAGCTTTTACCAAGTTATAAATGTGGTTACTCACTCTACATATGTTTAACACTTTAAACTTTACAAACCATCAGTGATGGTAATCAACTACTCGAATATAACAATCATATTCCATATTGGTTAGAAATAAAATGGACAACACTTGGCCGTAATTGGAGGGTTTGGGATATTTTTCCAATCTCATGAAACACCTAGTGAACAACATATATAATTTCATACATATTCCAATCTATCTACTAGACTACTAATAATATCCATCAATGGATCTTATATATGATGCTTCTAAACATAACTTTTACATCAAAATCATTATTTACATGGTTTCAACCTAAAACATCATGAACTAGTACATTTAATACATAAAGTCCTTTACATCAATTCTTATCAAAAGGTAAATCACGGCTTCTAAGAAATGAAGTATAGCATAATACAATGCCAACATAGTACAATAATCCATCTAAATTCAAGTCCTCCCATTATGACATAATTACATACACAACCAAAATATGCAAGGTATGGCTCCAAAATATAATACTAGCATGCTAATATGTCAAAGCGTACAAATAAAACATAAATGCCACAACCCCAACTCGGGCCTCCTTCCATGGGAAATATCATTTGTGCTACTTAGGGTGCTTGAAAAAAATCCTCACATGGGGTGAGATATAATCTCGGTAAACTCAGGGTTCTTAGAGATTCCTCCAACAATGAGCTCACTTCCATGCTATGCAAGCATCAAAACGACATTATGCACACAAGCTCACAATAACTAGCATATAATCATGCAAGGTGTATCAACACCAACCAAACCATTCCTCTAGACCATCAGTCATCCCTGGAATGTTGCTACCAATCATAATCGAGTCATCCCTGTGGTCCATCAGTCATCCTCGGAATGCTCATATCATTCAATTCTACTGGCCATAGAATCTATCCGATCATGTAACCATACATGACATAATCATAATTTCAAACTCAAGCAATCACACCCAATCTCAACACCACTACACTACCATGTTATACAAGTCATTACTCCATACGGAGTATGGCGGAACATCAAGGGGAAAATCCCCAAGGTCTAAGTATTTACCTGTCACAGACATCCGTAAATAGCTTTTATCTATTGTAAGCCTCAACCACAACCAATCCATACAAAGTGACCTATAGCAAACGGTGGAAATATGATCAACATATCATACAACACACAAATCACTAAGTTACTGACTAGAATCTACTTTTGCATTTTAAGCTCATGACTTACCCCT